TGCTGACGCAACCAGCTGCTTGCCACGGCTGAGAATTGCAATGGCTTCAGGGAACTGGGTGTGCTGTCTTGACATTGCAGGACTTGTTCACCTTGGTATTCATACATCTGGCAAAGCAACCTCCATTCGGAAGCACGTAGAAGGTCGGCAACAAGGGGCATGCTTTGACAGTAGAGAGCCCCATGCCCAAGCAATCCTCATGCTCAAGCTTACTATGGAAGGTAAGGCTTTCATCGACTTCATCATATCCAACTCAAGTTCGACATAGGTGTATGGCCCCTGCCAAACTGCTGGTGTGTACCTTCTTTGCGACATTCACTCCTTGCGCTTCCGTTCTTGCAGCATTGGAGGCATTATGGATCCGCATAGTGCTGGCCTCTACTGACAACTATACACCAAGCTCGGAGCGGCGAATCATTTCGCAAGTTTGGCGTTGGGATGTGTCGCGAGCAAGTCAATGCAAGCAGCGGCACTCAAGTACAGCTGATACGAGCGCGCACGTTGGGTTTTGACCTGTGTCATACCATGACCCTCTCTTCCTGCACAGCACGATGCAGCTATCCACCTGCTAAGGCATCGTGCCCATGAAAGCTTCTGGCATGCAAAAGGTTAGCTGCGTGGACTCAACGGGAAAATGATCCTTGAGCGTATGAGTTGCTCCTCCTCCCAGCAAATGACAAGCCACGTTCCTAAGTGGGCCGCTGCTCTGCAGTTCCCTGTCAAAGAAAAGGCCCATTCTCAGACTGCTTCTGGAATGCCCTTGGTTACGGCAAATCCTGCTTACACGGGCACCTGCCCTCACTTCGACTTCGACGACTTGGACTGAAGTCTTCATCCCCTCAAAAATTGATCCTAAACACCCGTGCCCCTTATGCAAGAAGAGCTGGTACGGCTTGCTCAGCAAGGAGAAAACGCGCAACATCTAAAACAGCAACGATGGGTGGAAGCCTCTTCATCTGGACAAGGTGGTCCTCTGCTTGCTCACAAGGCCGTGGTTCATCCTGCTTCATACTGTCACTGTCAGGTCAGCCCTGCAGGTGGCACGGCCAACAGTTTTTTTCCACTCTTATGAGCAACAACCTTGGCCCTTGTCTTTCTGCCAAGGACTCTCCAACGAACTGAGCGCATGTGCAGTTGAGAAACACAGACTCGGACCATTGCATCAGCGTCCCCAGTGCTACAACTCGCCGACGCCTAAGGCACAAACATGTAGAAAAACATGTTTGAAGCAGTCGTGCGAATACTCCCCTGCACATGAATGGAAAGCAACAACACTTTGTTTGATCTGTAACCATTTTTTTGGGTTCGGCTTTAAACTTGCATGTTCATCTAATTCTCAACTTGTTCATGTGCCATCGGGGGAAACCCCCTCCACGCACTGCCCTTCGGCTTCTCAGGCCCTCAAGCAGCTGCACTCACTGGAACCTGCGGACCGGGAGGTGTTGGGCCAATTGAGTTGCCGAGGTGAGCCTCTTACTTGGCCTGAAACCATTCCGGCTTCACTCAGAATACTCAGAAGTCTTGCTCGCGTGCTTTTGCGTTCCTTTCCTGAAGCTGCAACTCCAAATGGAGTAAACACATTTCAAAGTCGCAGCTTCTTAGTACAAGTCGGGCGGTGGCAGTCTGGCAATTCTGGCTCGAAAGTCGCGCATTTTCGGTTCAAGAGAGTAGTGTAATTACAAGTGCAGTTTGGCAGCGTCGGTTCAAAAGTCGCAAGTTTTGAGTACCATGTAGTATACAAAGCACACGCCAGCTCGAAAGATACAATATGGCTTCCAACAGCATCGGTTGTTTCCCTCAGCAACGGGTTTACCGCGTTCCTGGTCTGCAAAACAACATAGGGGACGGGCCCGTACAAAAAAAGAGAGGCTTGTTTTGTTCCCGACCCATGCGTTTTCCGATGGTTTCTATGGCTTCTGTGAGATTGATCAATGCGTGTCATTTAGCACCCAGCGGCGCTGGTCAAATAAGTTGTCTGTTTCACAATCCGTCGATGCTAGTTGCTGGTACAAGTCTGAATTTGTCAACTCCTCTGCCAGTTAAAACACATTCTATCGAATTTCTTCTTGAAACAAGCTGGCAAAAGGCCCAGAGAGAATTCAATGTTGAACCCCTTTCTCAGCTGATGGTCCCATGGAACTGATCCGGAGATGTCAAGCTGAGAAGGGCTTCATCTGTTCGAAAGCGGTTTGTGCGTGTGAAGTGACACTAGCTTGCAGGTCAGCAAAGCATACATTTGCTTGGTTCCCACTTTAGGCAGGTAAGATCGCTTCTCCGTTTCAAGCAGACCACGCCAGTACCAACAAGTAGAGAAACAAGGTCAAGCAAGTTGCGAAAAAACACCGGACATCTCCACAACATTCCCTGAGGCTTCATGTAGTTCATATTTGCCTACATGGCATATGTAGTGTCTCAGAGCTGACGGATAATCTGTAGGGCCCCAGAGGCTACATTGTCGAATTCTGTCCGATTTTTTGTCGGAATGTAGCGGAATCGTTCGAATCTGTCGGAGATTATCGGACTGTGCTAAAAATCATCAACATGTATCCAGAATGATTGGAAAATCGAATCATGCCAGTTGACGGACGCTTAGCTCATGCAAGTTCGAATCGAAAGAAACAAAATTTGCAAAGGAACTATGCTCTGATCACGCAACATGCTACAACTATCCCTCCGAAGGCCTGCATCATGGTGCCAAATCTCATGCAAGTGCTTACATATTTGCCCTTTTGTTGTAAAATGTGGCTCGCATGCGGTGTGAAGGGCATGGACGCAATATTATATGTACGTCCATCTATACATGTTTTGCGTTTCCCTTTGTTGCTTCACTGCCATCAATCGTAACATATGCAACCTTTCGTGGAGCTTATGGAGACGCTAAGTCATAAACGTAGTGGTGGCGCAATGGCGGCAACATTTGCTGAAGCAATATTTGGAAACAGACCCTGGTCAAAGGACACCAAGCACTGCATCAAACCCCACAACTCTCCCTGATGGCTGAACATGATTCATGGAAACGGCACCTTCAGAATCCTTGACTGGAGATTGAGCCCCCGCAGAGTGCAGGCAGAATCAGCTCTCGCTCTCTCTTTTTCGCTGTTATATATATATATATATTTGTTTTTCTCTCTCTCTCTCTGTCTCTCTCTCTCGCTCCAGCGCTATCCCGCCAGTCCCAAATTAGTAGCACTGCCGAACTTCTGCTGCCCATCTGAAAAATTGGTCTAAAAACACTGACCCAGACTCCCATGATCATTGCTCAGGGAAGATCATGAGACCTGAGGGAAAATCGTGATATACGGTATACGGATATACGCCTTGGGGAAACCTCTTAGAGAGAGAGAGAGAGGCAGAGAGACTCGGCCTGCTCTCTTGATTCTCTTGCATCCTGGATGCATGCCTCCAGTAAGTCATGCCAAGTGGCAAGTTAACCATACAAGTGTCATCACATGTGCGTTGGCTGCGATGCAGGTCGCACTATCAACGGTAAAGATGCATATCAGTGTGTACATAACATGTGCAAAGGCACATTACATTGTCCATCTCCTGTAAGCCGTAGTTGCTGGAATGTTGCTATCCTGGTTTGTCCAAACAAATTTCATGTTCTCAGCGGACTGCAAGTCGTGTTTGCGAAACTACGACTGGCATGCGGCCCCTGCAATCAAGCGCGCATCTATTTTGGTAGTTAAAGCCAGTCAGTGTTCACTGAGAGTCAGTGGTGCCTGCCCCGTGCCACGAGCTGTCGGCTTTTTGCAGAGATGTGGTCAGATCCAAGGCTAGGGCACTTCCAAGGTCGCGAAGCTAGGAGCCAGTCGTCGCCAATGGCGCTTGCTATTGCTTCAACCATCCTCACAATTCAGAACAAGCTACAAATGTCGCGTAGCTGCAGCACTCCTCGTGGGAAGGAAGAAACTATGCGCAACTAACAGAACCCTTATGCTAGTTTCTGGGTGGCACAGTGTGTGCATGTTTCTTCCAACCAGAAACCATGCCAGTCACTGGAATCTCATCCGGATTGCCACCGGATGAGACAACGTTGCAGCACGCAAAGTCCAAATCTAGTGCCGAATTGTTCATTGTACCAGGACGGGTCTTCAGACATGCACATCTTGCCATATTGAAGCCCAGCCCCGTGAGACAATCTAAGTGGGTCCGCCCGACGCGTTTCACTATTGTTTTTCAGCGCGATTCGTGTGCGTATTCAATGCGTTTCGCTTCTGGGCGTTTCCGCCCGACGAGGGTACGTGGATGGAGACAGAACACAGTCGCAGATCCTACGGTTTGCTTTCTTAGGCTTTGAAGCAAGGGAAACCAATTAAACGGGCGGCAGTCTTCTGGTTTAGCTTTTCAGGAGAGGAAAGATGCAAAACCCTTCGGGGGTGCCAATGTCCCGGTTTTGCTTTCTTTAAGAGAGGAAAAAAACAAAACCCTTCCGGCTTTGCTCTTTTAAGGAGAGGAAAAAGCAAACCCCGACAAAAGTGCCAATTTGCCGGTTTTGCTTTTTTTAGGAGAGGGAAAAAACAAAACCCTTCGGGAGTTACAATCTTCCGGCTTTGCATTTTTGGAGAGGAAAAAAGCAAACCCCTTCAAAAGTGCCAATCTCCCGGATTTGCTTTTTTAAGGAGAGGAAAAAAAGCAAAACGCTTCGGGGGTTACAATCGTCCGGCTTTGCTCTTCTTTTTCTTTCTTCCGAGAGGAAAACAGCAAACCCCTTCAAAAGTCCCAATCTCCTGGTTTTGTTTTTTGTAGGAGAGGAAAAAGCAAACCCCTTCAAATGTGCCAATCTCCCGGTTTTGCTTTTCAGGAGAGGAAAAAAGCAAACCCCTTTGCCAATCTCCCGGTTTTGCTTCTTTCTTTCTTTTTCGCCAAACGAGCCACAGTGTGGCGTACAAATCCACCACAAAATATAACGTGATTTTGCTTTTTCTATGTTGGTTGCGTTTCACATGCTCTGCGTTTCAGCGCGTTTCCCTGCGTCTTGTTAGGGCCGCATTTTTTTTCACCCGGCACGCGCTTTTCCCCCACTTAGGAGACAATCTACAGCTTTGTCGCTTTGCCTCAAAAGGGCAAGCGGCGCGGATGAAAGATCGTCCCACAGAAGGGGATTGGTCCATCGGGGCCCAAGGTAATAGCCCTCACCAGGGAAGCCAAGATGATCACGGCAGTCACGTTTTTGGCCGTCAGCTTTGCCTTGTTGTACCAGGATGGTTGATGCTCCTGGCTCACTGGGCTCACTGGTTAACCATCCGTTCTTACGAATTTGTGGTGGCTGGTGTGACACACCCACGAACACCAGCTAGCTGAATGAAGGACTTGTGGGACTTGCAAGCTGAGCGGGCCTCTTTCAAGGGGGACCGATCGCGGTGTCAACTGCAGTTTCAGCAGTAGCCCTCTAACCGTTAGACTTGATTGGACAAAACGCAATAAAATGAGCTTGTTCTACGTTTTTGTTGTTTCCTTTTTTCCCAACAGCTGATAGGGGTCTCTTGTTTGGGCAGGCTCCGAAGTGGTTCGAAGCCCGGAAGGTTTTGGAAGCATTACGGGGAAGCTGCTGGGTGGGGAGACCACCTGGGCTTCGTTTTATTTTCTTTGGGAGGAGGGCAAAAACCGCGTTGCACCATTAACGCACAAAGTGAGAGGTTTGGTGTCGTCGCATCCTGCTAGACACAGCTCCTCCTGCATGTCTGCGAGAATAATGGCCAAGAGAAATCCTGCGAGCATGCCCGCGAAGTGGCCCACAAAGTCCACGTTGGGCGAGATGGTGGACATCATGATGCAGCTTGTGCACATGAAGGCGAACCTACAAATAAGCAAAGCAATCAAGCGAACAAGCAAGCAAGTACGCATGTGAGCAAACAAACCCAAAGCAGGCAACACAAACCCAGAAGCCAGCAAGATACACCAAGAAAACAAGATTTCCCTTTCAGGCTTTGGCGCCACAGGAAGACCCGGGACCGGCTCTCGCCCAGCAAGTCCCAGGTGAGCAAGACTTCCGCCGCCCAAACCCCCAGCAGCCCAAAGCCGCTAGTGGACGCGCCCACCGCCAGCCTCGGTCAGCTTGGACCAGGCGGGGGTTGCAAACTGTGTCCACTAACTGCCATTAAAGCGACATAATTAAACTTAAAATTAGCTTCATGTTGGCTTGAATCGGGTCCCCCCAAAAAAGTGTGAGAACCCCTCAACTGCAATTTACTGGACCCACCTCTTGGCTGATGGTGCAAGCCATGTGAGAGAGCATCAGGATCACGTTTGAAGGAAACATTGTTTGGTGCACAGGACCAAACCGGGAACACCAAGGTCGATTTGAATTAGGAAGTCTGATCTAGGGTGCTTGTTCGCTCTACCATTGGATGTTTCCTTGAATCCTGGAGCCTTGAAGGTCCATGGAATGTCCCCGGAAAATGTGAGAGACCTCTTGAGACAGGTTCCTGAACCATTAAAGTTGTCTTGATCCCAAATCTCAGTTAAACTACGTCCCGTGTCTTGCTTTCTTCGACTGGGGGAATGATTTTGTGCGCAAAAGGCAGCGTGACAAGTGCTATGTTTGGGCCAGCAGCTTCATGGGATCTACCGCAACAGAGATGAGGTTGCCCAGGAAGCCGCAGAACATGTAGAGGAGGCAGAACTTCCGTCGCCCGAATTGCTTCTCCATGCCGAAACCGATGCGCATCTGGAAGAAGAGATTGAAGAAGATGTGCAAAGCATTGGCCTGTTAGCAAGACGCATCTCAAAATACATATGCAAGCAACTGGGCAAGTCTTGTCTGGGAGTGGCACGTTGAAGCGAGACATGAAAGCATGCAAGCTGTCAATTACTTGCAGCACGCCTTTTGCTTAGCACACAACGGCAGCGCCTCTCTGCAAAAACTGGCCGACTGTGCATTGCAGTCAAAACAACTGCGACGCCTTGCACCAACATGTGGGAAAAGTAACCTTTGCTTGGGTGCTGCTCCTCACAGACCGAACTCCTGTCACGATTGAATGTTTTGACGTGTTGCTGCCAATTCCCACCCTGCAACTCCTTGAATTCACTGAGAATCTAGTGGGCATCACAGATTTGAATCTGTCGGGTGCGAGAGACATCCCACCGTTGCCAAGGGTGTCTTTCTTTGCAAGGCTGAAGCAAACACCCGCACCCACAAACACTCGCATGGACTCCCAAAACCAAACATGAGTAGGTGTCGAGATTGGGGAGCACCCCACAAATGATGGGTTGCCTTTGGGTTTCCCTTGCAACCAACCTGAAAAGGGAACCAACTCCAAAAACCACAACCCCACATGGGGTTGTCTCAAAATGAGCGGACCCAGAACAAGCATCAACAAATATGCACTCAAACAATTCCCCCCCCCCCCGTCTTGTTGTGGGGAACTGCTCCCAAAATGGATTTCGGCTTTCCTTTTGGTTTTCTTTTGAGACCAACCAACACCCGGAAACGGACCCATTTTTGGGTCTGAGTGGCGTGGAGCATCATCGGCAGCATGAGGCGCCACACGGCCCCTTGGGCGATGGCCGGGCCCCAGGAGGCACCCAGCAAGTACAAGGAGCAGAGCTTCGGACTGCCGTAGGCCGAGCCCAGCAGCAGAGACCCCACGTACTCCTTGGAGATTGGAGGGGGGGGGGAATCAGAAATCCCAAAGAAATTCACACCCACCCACCCACCCACCCACCCACCCACCCACGCACGCACGCACGCACGCACGCACTAGCAAGCACTCCAAATGGGTCACAACGGATACAATCTTTTGTCTGGCCCAACAAGAAAACTTGAGCCACAAATGGCTTCTTCGAAGCCCAAAGAGAAGTGCAGCAAGGGAAAACACCCACACAACCCACACACCCAAAGAGAAATAGCCCAAGGGAAATTGCCCAAATGAAATGGGAAGCAGCTCCAAAGCAAGAAACAAGGACGGCTCGGTTTTGCAGGAGTGTCATGGCATTGCAATGCAACAAGTTGGATGATGCAACCAAAGTATCATCAACAACCCTACACTCACTTTGTTGTTTGATAATCACTGGGCTGAGCGGATGAAAGAATGGCAATGAGGTAAACTGATCCTATCCACAATTATTGGGTCCAGTTCAGGTACCTGCCATAAGGGTGGCTGCTGCTTGGAAATGTAGTGGCCATGTGCGTGTGGCATGTCAAGCTGAATCAGAACTCTTTGCTGCATGGACAGTTACTGTAGGCCAAAGCGCTGTGATCTGCAGCATGGAGACGCGCCAAATGAAGGTGTCGGTGTTGAAGTTCGGTAGCAAAGTATCCTCACAGCAGCCAAGTTCTGAACTGCTACCTCCCTGCAACACGCTTGCAGCTCACAGCTGGATTGAAGCCCAAGCGTCTTGTACGGCAAAATGCTCACATGGTGTTCACGGCAGACTGCGTAATCAAGGATCAATTTTCAACGTGCACTCGTTTGTCCGCAGGGGCAAAACAAACTTGGTCGGTGGCCTTTTCAGGATGCCTCAAAGGGCTTGCTCATTCTTGCCCAATTACACGATGCCACTTAATTAGATTTATTGCTTCCCCTCCCACAAGCCTAGTTGGGAAAGGCTATGGGGTCTTTCTCAAAGTAGGGCACCCCCGGATGGCGCAGCAATGCCCCAAACAAATCCACTCCAATTCATCCATGGATCCAGCAGACTGTATTGTTGCGGCTGTATCTGCCCCGCTGCTGCCAGTGGCGGCGAGGGCGGCGGCAGGGTAGGTGGGGGCGGCACCATCATCGCGAGCTTCATGAAGGCTACACCTCAATCGACCGCACGGCCCAAAACCTCGCCCGAGCTGACTATTGGAAAAATGGTTACAAGGTTTGCGCAGGCCGTACGTGCTACAAACCCCGTGAAATCAGTGGACCACCTTTATTGCGTAATTGGGAGCTTGGGCACTGCTCAATTGCAGGCGCTTGGGTGAACATCAATGGTTTATGTGCATCATGTCCATCAAGAGCTTTTTGGAGGGTGTTCCAACCATTGAAATCCATAGCATTAAGTGACACATCAAACTGTTGTTCGATGTTGATACCTTCGGAAGGGAACGCGTGAAGAGAGAATACCAAGACGTAATATGTATGATGTTTGGCTCTACTCATTTGTGCTCATGGAAGCAACCAAACATGACATGAAAACCAAGGTAAGATTCTGATCAAGCGGTGAGTGACTTGGAGCTGACATCACGATGGCTGCTGCGCCATCTTGGGTTGGGTTCGGACCCTTAGAGGGGTGTTGTGAATCATCCTGACAAGAAATGATTGGTTGAAAGGCTGGTCATTTCAGCGCATCAGTGGATCTAAAGAATGATCACGTTTCAATCGCTGACCCAAATATATCTGATTGTTTCTGCTGGTTAGCTAAGTTCCTTCCCTGTGGGAAACCGAATGACTCTCAAGCAATCACACATACACAAATGCACATGTCTATGCAAGCCGTGCTTTGTTTGGTGCCTGTGCTGGGACACCAATGATGCGGCTTCAAAGTTGTGGCTCTCTCACAACATATGCGACCCCTGAGAACGGTTTGGTTTCCTTTTGGTGCTCTTTTCAACAGCAACCAAAGGCGATAATCTACCCAACCGCAGCCAAAGGAGGTTGTTTAGATCATACAAGGTGGTTGTGAACCCCCCAGCAAGAAAAGCTTTCTTAGACCCTCTTGCCTATCGCTAAGGTGTTTTAATCATGTAACACCCACCGGGTTGGCCCACCCTGGCGCATGTGAATTGTCCAGGTACTGGGCATGAGCGCCGTGCCCAGCGCGGCCCCGGCGCCCAGGCCGAGAGCTACCAAGGCATCCTGCGAGAGCCCACTGTCAGTTTCCCTCTAATTGGTGGTCTGCAGTTTGGGGGCTATTCGGATAGATTAGTTGTTGCCCTCTACGAGAACCAGGGGTTCAAACCCCAAAACCACCAATTCAAACCACCACTTAGGGTCGGATGATCTCAACGCAGTCCGCCTAAAACAGTTAAGCTCCCTCGGCCAATGGTCAAAGTGGTCCAGGCAATGCCGTGGTGTAAGTTGTAGTGGTGGAACGGCTCATGGCCCAAGCAATGGTAAGTGGTCCAGTCCGCCCATCCACCAACATGGAATCTGCTTGGAGGCCCCTACAAGATTAAATTTCTCTTAGGGCACCTTCTGTCAGCTTCCAGGTTTTTGGAAGGAAGTGTACCTCTGACTTTTGTTTTGCCTACAATTTGTTTGGTTGCTCGTGGACATTCAACATATTCAACCACATCATTCTTGCTTGAAGCTGCTCAGACGATATTGTGTCTTCCCGGACATCTGATGATGACCGACTACAACTAAACACTGCTCTGGGCCAACTACTACAATTCTGTCTAATCTGGAAATAAGTGACTCCCCCAGGTCGAGGACCTCAATCAGCTGGTCTCAGCCCCTGAGCAAACTGCTGGCACAAAGTTACCGCTTGCGCCTGCCAAACCTTCGTCTGGGGCTCTTCACGGCGGGGCTCTTCGCAACGTCGAGAGACAGTGCAAAGGGTCGTGCAGGTGCCTCGGCTCGAAAAGGAGGACGGGGTACAGCACCATATCATTTGAGGGTAAAACGTCCACATTGGACTTCGATAATTAACCAATATGTCCTGCCATCGGTTACAAGTGTCTTCAAACTATTAGGAGAGAATGATCACTTCCTACCCCCCCCGACAGAACTCCAACCTTTGGGAACATGCAATCTCCTTCCCCTCCCCAATCCCCCGCCCCCCGCCCATGCAAGCAATGTCCTCAATTGTCATTTTCAGTTCGAAACAGCCAGTGTTGTTCTTTCCCTTAATTAACAGAGGAGTATTTGATGTCCCCTTCCCGGACATCCAGTTGGTTCGCAAAACTGCCATGGTACTGAGTCTGCAAGGAATAGGAGACTCGGCTCGTCAAAAAGGATAGTTGTCAACTGACACCTTCTGTTGACAAGCAGACTGTGCCCATTCACTCAAACATGATGCCACAAATCATTATTTCAACTTCGGTGCGAGGCAACAACTGTCTGACGATCCATTGATTCGGCTGTGCGACGTCCCTCCTCATCGGAACACCAACGATGACTCAACTGATGCCAGGCAAGTAAGCCCTCAATAATCCCTGATATTTCTCCAACATGTGGTGTTCTTGCCAGGCCCACCGCCCTGCGCTTGCATGAATGCTGAGAAGAGGGGAGCAATGTTTTTAAGATCCTACCATCAGGTGGTTTGTGGTTTGGTGATCATGTAGAGCAGGATTCAGAGTGTTACTGAGAAATGCGGAAATCTGGCGTAACGTCAAAAAATGCATACACATACCCATGGGGGCACACCTGCCTTTTGACCTCCATTTTACCTATGGGGTTTGTACCATGAACAGGCAACCATGCGGTCAAAAATGCAGGTCCATATGCATTGCACCCATTATCGTGCCAGGTGGCTGCTTGCCTTGGTAATGCGCGACTGCGGAAGGGGCACGAAAATGAAGTGCTCCCATGCCTCCTTTGAGATGCACATGGCCGGGCCGATCTGACGGCCGCTTCGCCAACGAACGTGCGCTGGACTCGCTACCTTTGCGACGGTGGAATGGCACTGCGCCTCACTTCCGGATTGTTGTTGATTTCTGCGGCTGTCATTATGCCAAACCTTGAACCCAACTGCGGCAAAGTAGCACGCACAAATTAAGCGCTTGCTGGCAGGTACATGTCCTAAAAGACAAAACAAAAGCAAAAACGGATAGCCTGCATATGCATACCTGCTCTGCTTGCTTTGAACTTACGCAGGCAGCAGAAATGGAACACACCAACATATGTGCGTTCTTTTTTAAGGGGAAGAGGCTTCAAGGGAAACTGCCCATTTTGCTTTCCAAGCGTGGCCCGCTGCACCGCGCCTCTGGACCCAGCACTGACCTGGGCAGGAAACCTACGACTGAAAGAGAAGTCCGGGAGATCACCTTGGGGAGCCCGGTAGATTCCAAATACCAGCATTGCAGTGAACCAACCACGCTCCAACTAGCTATTAAACGATGGCTCCCTTCGACCTGCTACATAGATGCAGGGAATCACTGGGGAATCTTGGAATGACTCGCTTGCAAACTAATTTTAAGAAAGGGATGGGGTTGTTCCCACAAAGCCCTGTGGATTTCATGCATGCCCGGGACAAAAACAACACACGCACCGCTGCTCACCAACAATTCCGCTGGCAATTCGCGCTGTCGCCTGCTGAAATCCTCACCGAAGCCGGGAATAAACACCTGGCGAAGTAAATGAGCAACTGTCAGCATGCAGGCTGAGCCCCTGCGTTGGAGAGGAATGCATGTCTTGCAAGTTTCTGAATGATTCCAAAGCATGTTTCGGCAAATCTCACGGCCCAACTTACACAAGTATCGGCTCTTTAGCACAGTTCGCATGTGCAGCGTAGCAAGCATACAATGGAAGCCCACTATGCCGTAAATGGGCAAGACACCAAAATTTGCTGCGCATGCTTCAATGTGTGCAAGTGAGCAACTTGTGCTACTGCGGCGCCTCGATGCAGTCCCAAGTCATTTGCCTCAGCCAAAAAACGCCACTCTGAGGCTCAGCTTCAAAGCCACTCTGAGGCTCTGAGGTGAGCGGCGCAGGCTTGTCTGCGCTGTGAGCACAACTTGACAGCATGCGACTAGGAACATTGACACTGGAAAATGAGAGTTTCCAGTGCATATCTGTCAAAATGAGGGAACCCAAAAGTGATACTTTCTTCTTTGGATCTCCCTTTGACCACCTCAAAAAGGAAACCCCTCAAAAAACACAGACTCAGTTGGCTTGCTATCATGCACGTAAGGCACTAGCCACCAGACTGGCTGAGCGGATTCGCCGCTTACTGGCTGCGCCTGTGCGAAATGGACCCGCTACAGGGCTGCTGGAAAGACCCTGTCGCAATCGCAAGGGTGCACAGTTGGTCCCAGAAAAAGAAAACAACAAGGGCCCAATACATGCCTATGCCAATTGTTCACCCTTGCGGCCCCACCTGCCTTAAACCTTGATAGCTGTCTCAAAGTGGTTCTATCTCACACAAAAGCTTTTCAGCTGCACGAGCACGCACGCTCATCTTGACGCCATGACTTCGTGCAAGCCCCGCCAGTCGGACTTCTTGCATCTTCTTGCTGTGTACGTCCTTGAATCGTGTCCTCTATTCTCAAATCGTGTCCTCTATTCTCGCACATCTGGAACAGCGCTGATCTTGCTGAGTGAGCTTGACCACATGTAGCTGCATGCAGGAGAACCAAACATTTGGAACACTGGGTACTCTGTGAGATCTGCTCTCTTGTGAACGGGAAAGTGGGAAATTAAGCTTGAGCTTGCAATCGGAGCCAGGAACATGTGAAAAGCTGCAGATTTAACCTTGGAATATTGCCCAATTGGTGGGACCATGAACACATCTTCTTTTTTTTCACAGGATCTGGACAAAACAAAGTGTCGAAACAGATTTCCTGAAACCGTTCAGCTGCCATCTGGTAGCCTCGCCTTAGGCGTCACAAAGCCAAGGACGTTTGTAGAGACCTCAATCGCACCCGCAAGAAGCTTGCAGGAACTGTTTGGGGGAGGGCTTTATGCCAGTTCTTGTCAACATCCCGTATGAAGCTGATAACCATCAGAGAAAGCACCCAAAGAAAATATACTGGGACGCCTTGGTGCTGGGATGGCTTGCTTGAGCGCCGCATGTGTCGGCAACCTTGCATCCAGGGCCATAGTTTCCAATTTGCTCTTGTCAAGCAAATCCTAGCATGTCTCCCCTGCAAACTAGCATGGGTTCCCCAAAGCCCATCTTTTTCAAAGGACATTTCTTGTGGGCGCATCTTGCAGGGCGCATCTTGCAGGTGTGAACACGTGGTCTGTTGGGTGAACTTGGCTTCACCGTTCGCGGGCACATGCTTGCGCTTCTGTCATTTGCCCAATCTTCAGTGGGCAACCAATCGCACGAATTGGATCCAAAATGTTGGTTTCCCTTTGATCCAACCTGCAACTGCTACCACTGCCATGCTCTCCGCACACACACACACAACGGCTCCCATTGTCGGCTTCCGGCCAGTACACCCAGGAGGTTCTTCAGGGTCTCTAAGGCCACCTCCTGGAGAGTGACGTGGTTTGGTGCATAGGTCGTGGTGGGTGGCCATCCATGCACCGCTTTCCAAGTTGTTGTTTTTTTCAAAAAAGGCGACACATCAAGCCATCACCCGATTCAAAAGAGTGTCAGCATCAACGATAGCCACGTTGGCTGCACTTTGAAGCAGCTTTCTGTGGCCAATGCATCGCATCAGCTTGGTGGGAAATGAACCCTTGACATGGTATGAACAATAGCGCAGTATGGCGGACCATTCCCGCGCTCTGGTCCTCCAACTCGGCGTCTCTGTCGTCAGAGCCCCGCTTGATAAACTGGAGCATCAATCGCAGAACCATTAGCCTCAGCTCTTGGCCCCGCACAGCGGTCTACAACAAATCGCTGGCATAAAGCTTCGAGGCCGACGCGTGCATTTCAAGCAGATTTTCGGAGGATAACACTTGTTACACTTGGGAGTCTTGCCAGTCTCAAAGACCTCTGACAACAAACGTCAGAAAGCACATTAAAAGAAGCCTTCTTGTTTCTGGAGATGCTGAAAATAATAGGCATTCATCACGTTCTACAAAATGATGCGAACTGCAAACTACATGTTCTGCGTCTGTAAAGCTAGCTATCTCGAGGGCATGATTGCCTGGTGGGTCTTGCAGCTCTGACTTGCACTGAAGGCATCACAACAGGCATAAGTATTGCTTGAGGGATTACCCATACGCCCCCCTTAAGCATCACTCCACTAAAAGGAACACTCGTCTCAACACGGCCCACGAGGAGATGTTTCACTCACCCACAAAGAAGCAACCCCTGCTGGACGGCCAAGCAGCAACGCCCTGTGCGCAACGGTAGAGAGAGAGAGTCAGCTAGGGTTGCGGCCAAAGTTGTCCGAAGCACTCGTGCCTGGAGATTGACTGCACAGTCAAGCTATATTGTTTGGAAGGTTGTCAAAGTATGGCCACCTTGTGGACGCTGGCACCGCATCGCGTAAGTGCTCCTCATTTTGACAACCCCCGCCCCCACATGACACCAAAACTAACGTTTTTGGTGGAGGGCTGGGTCTGACTTGAACACGTGAGATTTCCTGGTGAGGTATTCAAATGAAGTTGGATCAATGGCTCGCCTTTTGGCCATCAAGAACTTGTCTAAGCCCTGTGGCGCCAGTGTAGCGTTGACATAATGCCTGACGGCAGCCGTAATTATTCTGTGTATCAACACCCCTTTCAAATTTTCGTCACATAACAAAATGTCCTCAAAGCAGCATATTATCTTAATCGCCCCTGAACTCAATGCCAACAACCTTCCCTTCACAAAACCAAGCATCCTTCTCATGGCATAGCTGATGCCCCTCCTCTGGAGCGTCTGCAGGTTTTGCAGGAAGAACTTGGACACCAACGACACAGCTTCTCGAACCGCCTCGGCGAAGGCCAAGCAGCTTGCCTTCGGCATGTCGAGTTCGGTGCCTTTTTTGAGGCATTTGGATCATTTGGTGCTTAACACCTCAATGCAATTGCACCATGAGTACAATCCTGGCTCCTGAGTGTTCATGATCCTGGAGCTTAAGTGTTCTGGGAATCAGCACATGCTCTCGTCTCTGCAAGGTCGGCAACGCCTCTTACTGCTTCTGAGGATACTCTCCTGAAGCTTTACCTGAAGACCCATAAAGGGAGACGCTTCCTTTTGGATTCCTTCTTTGCTACTTTGGGGAGCTACACGCCGCTCCCTGGTGCGAATCTTCCTCCCTGGGCTCCCAGCTGCCAAAGGCGCCCCTGATGTGACTGGCCCGGTAAGGACGGAGACCTGAGACTTGGGACTCGGAGAGTTGGCACGGGAGGGGAAGGGAGAGGAGGAAGAGGAGGGGAGATGGGGGAAATGGGAGTTGTTTGGTCAGCCCCGTATGGATGCTTCACTAACCCCGAGGCTCTCAGTTGCTATTTTGCAGGTTGGGGCTGCTCCGGCCGGATGGGCACAAAGGTCGAAGAGCCCCCAAAGGGAAACCAGAGGAAGCCAGTCCACATATCTATTGATGTCTACCCTTTGCTGTTGGTCATTGAGAGGCTGAGAGCAACCTATCAATTGTCCTGAACACCGAACTCTGGCGTGGGATAAATTGCTGATGGTGCTGTGGGGTGGCAGGCAACCCCAAGAGGGACTTCAATTCTGTTTGGCCAAGCTATTTTGCAGGTAGTCTGTGATTAAGAACTCCAATCACACTAAACAAATTGTTGCTGAATCTGAATGCTGAACTACTGGTCCCATCGGAATGCACTAACCATGTACAAAAGCCAGGTTGAAGTCCTTCCTGCATCGGCGCATTTCTTGTCTATCTATCATGAGAATGACCTGGATTTGCACGTCGTGCAGCAGAAACTCCGCACATGCACCCTCTGTGAAATGAGTGTCGACCAAGAAAGGGCAGCCAAAACCAGATCTAGCAAAAAACATCCAGCATGCGCTGAAGATCAGCAAGATTCGTCCAACGG